AAAAAAAAAAAAAAAAAATACTTTTGTACTTCCTCTTATTTTTTTTAAATGTAATTCTAGTTTTTTCAACTATTTGTCAAATAAATGTCATTTTAGATATTTTTTACATATTTTTCTAATATTATCCTCATTTAGCCAATAAATATATTACGTCTTTTCATATTTACTCTTCACTTTTTCTAAAAACATTCATCTTTATCTTTATTAAATAAGGTTATTATTGGTAAAAAAAATATTCTTAATTAGTGTGCAATTTCTCAAAACGACATATATTAAAAATAGGAGATAGTATATCTTAATTCTTAACAAAGGATAAATTTCAATAAACACACTTATCCTATAACTAGTGCATATGCACGGGTAAACAATATTAAATAATAATTATAAATAAGTATCGAGTTCGAGTCACTAATGAAAGGAGTGGGAAACCACTATTCATCTTCTCTTAAAGGAGTAAGAAAGATATTATAAATTAAAGATCCGGGTAAACGATATGTGAGGTTAAAATGTCATATAATTTACGGTATATCAGTTTGTTACAAGTGATATAAAATTAGCTTGTTCAAGAGAACATAAATTTTGTATGTTTAAATAATTAAAAACTCCTAAAATATTATACTAACATATGTAAAATTATCTAAACTTTTCTATATTATTATTAAAAGATGTTAACTCACCTAAAACTTTTTTAAATTTTTTTGTAAAGAAAATATATCTAAAAGCATTAAGTTTACATTTGTATAGAGATGTTTTCTGAATATGACATGATAAAATATTATATAAAAGTATCTAAAATACTATAAGCCTAAATAAATGCATTGTAAAGTTTTGAAATAAATTTTACCTAGTATATATGATATAGCCATACTATCGTATAACGGTCCAATAGCATCGTGGTTCAGAGATTACCGAGTCGACTTACGCGAAGTCGACTCTGTCCGCAGATTCTTTATGGTATCCCCGGTCAAGGGTCCAGGCATTTCGCCTAGTCGACTTCCACATGCCGACTGGCATAAGTGGATTTACTCTTGGAAGACGGTCAGACGCATGAGGATCTACTGACAATTGAATATGGTCCAGTCGACTCGAGTTGATATCCTGAGTCGACTGAGGAAGTCTTGAAGCTCATAAGATCTCGACGACTCCAGTGCACTTCAGCGTATCGGAGGACAGTTGTTGAGGATAAGAAGGAAGCTACCAGAGATAAGGAAGAATCTAGATGCTGACTAGGAAGTGGACGGAATGCGAACCGACCAGGGTATTTTGAACATTTCCAGTAAGTCGGCCAGGGCATTTTGGGGACTTCAGGTAAATGTTTTACTTCTATATAAAGGAGCTGAGGTAACTCCAAAACCCTAACTCCCATTCATTCCACATACTCCTCCATTGTTGTTGCTTCCTCAGAGCAGCTCTTTTCACTCTTTTCACATACTGATTTGAGCGTCAGAGGCTCTACGCCGGAAACCCCTCCGGCGTTGAGTTCTTGCAGGTGTTCTCGCGGTTCAGCAACGGTTTGGAGGCTATCGAGTCAGATCCGAGCTCATTCCCATCGGTTCATTCCAGATCTGGGCGGTTTTTCATCGGTTCATTCCAGATCTGAAAGGAGACCCATCAATATATAAAATAAATATTGACATGATGCTGAAAATTATGACGATACTAACGTACCTGAAAATTAGAGTATAGAAGATTTCAAAATTATTATTATTATTATTTTGAGTAATTTGAGTACAAAAGATTTCAAAATTATTATTATTATTCTTTTAAGTAATTTGAGTACAAAAGATTCCAAAATTATTATTATTTTCTAGTTATTGTAAATATTATTATTATTATTTTAAGTAATTGGAGTACAGAAGATTTCAAAATTATTATTATTTTTTAGTTACTGTAAAAAAAATTTGTACGCATAAAATTCACGCTTTATGCAGATTTATCAATTTTACAAATAAAATGATATTTATTTTATATTGAATGGAGATTAAGACAATTTTGAAAAAAAAAAAA